CCTGTGCCCCCCCCCCCCCCCCCCCCCCGCTGGCGCCACCGCCATTGGCTTCTTCATATCCAGGGTGCGCAGGATCGAGTTGGGGGTGGGGCCCTGTACAAGCTGATTTGCACCCTGTTCGGGTCAGCTCTGCTAATCAGTATCCAAAACACCTACAATCTTGATTGTAATCAGCAATTTGCAGCGTGACATGGTAGGTTATATACATAAATAATAGAAAAGTGAATTAAAATATTCCAGTTAGTTTGAAATATTTGTTATTCTCTGTTAAGATTTCTCTTCCTTTAAAACAAAGGAATCTTACTCAGAATGCCTTCCCATTGAGACAACACTTAAATCCTTTGCCCTTACATGCAAGTGTGGCAAGAATTTTGGGGGAAAGAAACAGTTAGTTATACTGATTAAACTCTCTATTTTTAGTAGTTAAAACTGTTGAAAACCCTCTTATTTCTGCCACTTAAATTAACATTGTCTGGTCTTATCACTTTTGTTCTTACCATCCAAAAAGACAGGGTTGACTGGACAGAGTTGGTAAAGTGTTACTCTATCAATGTGTACATTAACTGATTTATCCTCAGCAGTTCCCTGCTTTTTCAGCATGGTTGGGAGCTTTAGAAATGTGTAGAATTTTTGTAATCCCTGAAATAAACATCATTTGAGATTGTAAATGACAAACTTTTGCCAGAGCCAGAAGAGCCTGGACTTGGACTACTACTATGTTGTCTAAAATCACTGACCACTAATGCTGTTGCTTATTCTGAGAAATATGAGCATTGTGAGTTAGGACCTGAATGCCCTTAACTAACTCCCCCTTGAAGTCTAAGGGTGCTCAGTACTCAAGGGTTGGGCCCTTGAGTAACAAGAAGGGGTTACTGCATTGGTAGGCTGATAAGAAACAGGACACATTCCCAGCATAGTAGCAATGGTGCCTTCAGCACACTTCAAGATGTTTTAAGTCTTGTATGTACTTTTTTAAGATTCTTTCAAATGTTTCTAACTTGTTTATGTACATAATTTTATTGTACATGCTTTTATGAAGATAAGTAGTTTAAAAAAAGGGTTTGTACTCAGCTTTTACTAAGAAAAAAATCAAACCCAGTTATAATGTTTACATTAATGTTCTTTGTGGTGTAGTCTCTCACTACCATGCTATCCTAATCCTAATATTTTCAAATAACCTCTGCATAGACCATTAAAGGGATGGACGATCTCTGCTAGCCTTGCAGTATATGGCATGTTATGGCAGAAGAATCTGTTTCTTCTTGATTAAGTGTGGGGTTTCCTGTAAGTGAAATGAGTTCTGCTGAACTTTTCATGGTTGTCTTACTCTTGTTTGTGTGGTCAGGGTTAATAATGGGAAATGTACTAATTCCCATGCTCTACCTAGCCTGAAGTCCTTCGAGTTAATATCTCTTCCTTTGTTGGATGTTGCCCTAGTGTGTTTAATTTTGTCCAGTTAAGATGAGAGCACTTTGCGTGAAGCAAATTGTAGCTCTCCACTAATGATGTATAGCGTACTAAAATTGTGTTAATATAAATTAATGTTCAATTTGTAAATACTTTGTAAATTAGACTATTGTTTAGTTTGGTCTGGACAAACAGAACTTGTGATGTTATCTTTGAGCATGTTCAGATATCTTTGGAGCTTTTGTTTTTTTGTTGGGTTTTTTTTCACTTGAATTTACAGTAACCATTTTATCACTGTTTAAAGCTGCTTACGGGTTTCCTAGACAGTATTCAGTTTCTGAATAGCTGTTTACTTTCTGAGCTATAGAAACATTATATTTTGCTTTGAAAAATATACATTTCCTTATTTAAACATGCAATAACTGAAAAAGGAACAGGGTAAAGCCTTTAATTTTTAGTGGAGGTATAAATATCCTGATAAATAAATATAAGCCAGAAGGTTTAGTAAGATAGGAAGCGGACATAACCTGCTGAAGTGGTGGTAAGGCAAAATGACTAAGAAAGAGCCTTATACTGAACTTAGAATTTTTTAAAAACTAAAATTGCATCTTCAGTACCTTTTTTTATTTGTGCTTTTTTTATCATAGTAAACATCTTTCATGACATGGAACAGATCGTGGAACATTAATTTTCAGAGTGTACACTTCCTAAAATGTAATTTCTAAACATCCTATGTAACTACTCCCTCCAAATTGGACTTATGCGGTTTTATTAAATTTAATCTAACATGCAGAGGCAATTGCATTATTTGGCTCTGAGTGAATTTCTTCATAGTTTCGCTTGTGAAAGGCACCTTCTCTTCCCACCCAGTGACAAAATCTTGTTTGGATCGCTAGCCAGCTGAAATGAAAACTACAATCAGAGACGTCTGGAAAGTAATGTGTTTGGATGCATGCTCCTGCTTTAACTTTGGAACAAGTTATTTAATCCTGTTTTTCTTACTAGTTTTTTGTAAACAAAGTGACTCAAATGATTTGCATTAATACTTGAAAGAATTTGTTTAACTGTAAGAACCCTCCTTCTAGACTCTTAATTCTTCTAAATGGCCCTCCACAAGCAAGTAACTAGAACCTTGTCTGTACTTCAAAAGTTTTGCCCACATGGTTATGTTGGATAGGAGTATAATTCTCTCTAGCTGTAGTTGTCATCAAAAATCTTTTGAAGATTCATTTATACTTGCAAAAAAGTCAATTTGGCTGCTTAACTTTATTCCATTTGGGAATAAACCATTTGGTTTCAAGTGTACCGGGAGAAGTTGGTATATACTGTATCTACTTTGTAAACCAGCCACCCTTTTAAGTTTAGACAGGGTGTAAATGGAGACTTGTAAATGCATTTGTTTAAAGAAAAGGCAGTGGTGAATTCCAGTAAAAGCCTTGAAAATAAGAAAGAAACATTGAAAGTTATTGCAGTACTGAAACTGATGTATGGTATAACTCGAAGTGCACTGAACTGATTTTTTTTTTAAATATCCTGATGTTTCATGCTGTTCATGATTGGAAACATGTCAAATATTGCTGAGAACAAATATTTTCAATCCTTTAAATAAACACTTTTTTTTTTGTTAAGCTTGTTTTGTGCAGGAGCATTTTGACACTCCAGGACAGAAACAGACACTAACTTCTGGAGCCAAATGCAGTGTATTAGAGTAAGTTATAGAGACTGCTGTTCAAGAGATGAGGCAAAAGTACATTTAAGAGCCACTGAGTATATGCTTATTTCCAATCTTTAAGAATCAAGCTTCTGACAATTACCATATGGGTTAAAATAAATTTCTTCCCTTCACTTAGGCACTTAATGATCCAAGAAAGAGATTACAAGAGTTGCGGGTAAAGAACAGGGACAATGGGAAACATTTTTATAACATTTGTTTTCCCTACAGAAGTTTCAAGAATGAACATTTTTCTGTGAGGCCATCCTTGTTTCTTACCCAGTGATTATTCCTAGGGATTCTTTAATTAGCCTGGAAGTACAAGCTACTTTCTAGCATAGTCTCAGAGTAGTCCATGCATGTTCTGCAGCCATATAAAACTGACAGTCAGATAATGAAGAAGACCTGGTGCTTACTACAGATGGGTAATACAACTTTTAAACAGAAGAGCTAACATTCTGACTAGAATGTACCAGCAGGGGTTTCACCATCTCCATGCAGAGAAACATGCCTCACCAGTTACGAAACTGCTCGCTGGAACCAAAATGCCTTCCAAAAACCACAGCAACTGTATCCTGCATTATGATTTTCTCTTGCCTAAATTTGGGGCAGGGAATTAGCATTGCCCCATCATGGCACTTACTTGGCAGAACTCATTCTACTGCTAAGGGATGATTCTCATGACTCAGTTCATATGTGGCTCACAAGATCTCCCTCCCATCAAAGTGGGTGTTCCAAATTACATTTGCAGTGCAAGTTACTCAGTGTTTTTCATACCAGAACTGCAGTTACCAGGGCAATAAAGCCTTTTGCATTAAGAAGACTAAAAGCCTCTAACCCTTATTTCCTTGACCAAAAGTAAATAAGATCTGTAAGGGGTGGGTTTGACCCTTCCCTCTCCCCACACTCCCTCTCCTCTCCTGCCCCCAACAGTTTGAGGGAGGAGATGCTGTGGCATAAAAGGGAATCAATTGCATTTCTTGAAAGCTGCTTTACAAGAATTCCTGCAATCTCCCAAAACCTTGAGAGCAGCATGAATATAATCTAGCAGTGAGGAGTGGGGGAAGAAGAATGGCATGGACACTTCCCATATAAGTTAATAGAAATTTGTGTGCATCTGAGGGCAAAACTTGGCCCAGTGCTGGTCCATCATGTCTACTAGTTCCTCTCTTTAAGAAAGAAAGAAAGAAAGAAAGGGAAAAAAAATGGTGGTGAAGAGGTAGTTAGCTGTGTTAGCTGAAGTCGGGCAGAAGGCAGGGCAGGGTGACACCTTAGAGACTTGCTCATTGCAGCCATGGTAGCAAGATGAAAGGAGTGGCAAGTGAGCCTTCTGGCTGTTCTTTAACCTAGAGAGCTGGGTAACAAGAGCAGGGAAGATGCACCTGAAGTCCACACTATTGCTTCAGTAAATATTGAGAGCCCCCAGTGGGCTTATACTGCCTGTGCCATCACATCTTCATTGCTATTACCCAGAGGTATTTAACTAAAACCAGTTTGAGAATGCCTGCTTGTACTGCAGTGCTGCTGCCTTTTAGAGAAAATCTCTGTATACATAGTCACTCATCTTGTGAAAGGGGAGGAATGGAATAGCAGCACAGTACTTGCATTAACTTCAATTAAGTTGGATTTGTCTTACAATAACTACATAATTGTATAAGATGTTTTTATAGGTGTTTACATTCACATTGATAATTCATGCCTTATTGTTATGCTGTGACATGTACAAGGTTGAAAGGCATAAAATACTTACTTCCTTATTTGCTAAGTTCATGTGCTCTTCTCTGGGGTGTGTTTTCAATCAAATGTTCTTTGATTTAAGTGGGGAGAGGGAATTGATGGCAGCTGCCACCTTCTAAAGTAGCAGGTAGAATAATCCATTGCTATTTAAAACTCTCTTCCAAATGGGGCTGGTGGGCAGGGGAGGCAGTGTTAATTTAAAAAAAAAAATCTAAATGAAACAAAAGAACTGTGGCCCTAATGCTATGATCCTTAATAAGGAAAGCTAACAGCAGGGCCCGCTCTCTTCGTATCCTCCTTCAGAAGTGAAATGAAGAACTCCAAATCCAGGCAGTTTCTTTAATTAGAGCTGCCTTGAGGGGAAAATCATGTTTAACCAACGCTGCAGATATCCATGGATAAAGCAAAGTAGGAACTGGCAGGAAAATGACTATGCATGAATAAAGCAAATGTGTAGTATTCCCTATATTGTGTGCACTTAATGTCATGGTTATGAACAGTTAACTGTTCATAATGTTGTTCTGAAGAGAGACTTCCATTATTCATTATGGTGCTGATGACGAATCAGGTATTTGTCCACTTCAGAAGGTGAAGTCAGTTGGATAGGAGTAGTTGACGGATTTGATAGAGTTGAACAAGTGACCTAATGGTGAAACGCAGCACAGCCGCATCTTCCTGCTAGCTTTGGTATAGCTTGCTGATAGTTGGGCAGCTGAAGTCATCTGCTAGAACTGGGTCCATTTGGGAATGAATATTGGGAAAAACAAGGCTTTTGACACTGCACCTCATGGGAAAATATTGGCTGAACTGGAGATGATGGGAGATCTATACTACAGTTGTAATATGGATAAGGAATTGGCTTGAAGAGAGACTACAGCAGCTTCTGTTATAATGCGAGTTACCAGATTGGAAAGCAGTTCCTAGTGGGGTTCTTCAGGGATCAGTCTTGGGGCCAACATGCTTAATGTTTTTATTAGAGACTTTCATACAGGAATTACTGTATTATGACACTTGTGTTGAGGATATGACAAATGTGGAAGATGAATGGACTCAAGTGCCTGAGGTTCACTTCCCTTTATGCTGTACCAGTTGTTTTAGATGTTGGTTGTTGGGGTCAATTGGTGATGGGGGTCATGTTGGACTTTCAGCTCCAGGGAGCTGTATACAGTTATGGTCTTTGCCACTAGAAAAAGTGAAGCTGGTTGATCCTGTATTAGTTTAATGATTCCACGTCTGCTCAGGAGAGGCCCACAATTTAAATTCTTGGTGTATAAGGCATTGTTTCATAGTCTCATAGTTTCATAGTAGCTAAGGTCAGGAGGGACCTGAACAGATCATCTAGCCTGCCCCCCTGCCACAGGCAGGAATGAATGCTGGGTTCACAAGACCCCAGACAGGTGATCATCCAACCTCCTCTTGAATTTGCCCAAGGTAGGGGTGAGGACCACTTCCCTGGGAAGTTGGTTCCAGATTTTGGCCACCCCAACTGTAAAATATTGCCTTCTGATCTCTAACCTAAACCTATTCTCCATCAGCTTATTACCATTGTTCCTTGTCATCCCAGGTGGTGCTGGGGAGAAAAGGGCTCTGCCTGTTTGCTGTTGATCCCCCCTGATGAGTTTGTAGGCAGCCACCAGGTCCCCCCTCAGCCTCCTCTTGCTGAGGCTGAACACGTTCAGGTCCTTCAGTGTCTCCTCATAGGGCCTGTCCTGCTGCCCTCTCACCAAGTGGGTGGCCCTCCCCTGAACCCTCTCCAGGCTGGCCACATCCCTTTTGAAGTGCGGCGCCCAGTACTGGACGCAGTACTCCAACTGCGGCCTAACCAAAGTCGCACAGAGGGGGAGGATCACCTCTCTGGACCAGCTTGAGATGCACCTTTGGATGCACGACAAGGTATGGCTGGCCTTGCTGACTATGGTCTGGCATTGGCGGCTCATGTTCATCTTGGAGTCAATAATGACTCCAAGAT